ATTTGAATATTTGATGTTATTATTTTTTATTATATATATAATTAATTTGTAGTTCAAAATACTAATAAAAATAATAATGATGTTATTTTTCTTTATTAATGATATCACAAAATTTTTTAATACATTATTAAATTTTAACATTGTTCTTAATATTAGATATATTATTAGTGTGATTCAGTTCTTCAAATATGAATGAAGTTAAAATAAAATAAAATAAAAAATATATACTCAACTTAGTGCTTTTTAAAGATTTTTTTATTAACTTAAATATATACATATATTTATTTTAAATTAAAATATAAAAATCGTATATATCATGTAAGACTTATATTTTTAATTTTCCATGACATGTACAACTAGTATTTTTTATTTTTTTTTAAATATGCAAGTCATAACCCTAAATCATATTGGGTTTACTTATCTATATATATAAAAAATACAAATAAAGAATACGAATTACACTAATTACATAAATAACTAAACACATACTCTTAAATTTACGTTACACTAATTACGTAAAAAACTTATTTTTAACTCTTGACAAAATATTAAAGGTTTTTAAATTTTAACATGTGAAACTTTATTTAGTATTTAGTATTTTTGTCATAAATAATTAGAAAGATATAACATGGATGATTTAATGTATAACATTTTGCTTCTTATAATGATATTCTTATGCAGTAAATATTGATTAGAATGAATTATTCATTCAAGTTTTACATTAAAAATTAAAATAAAAAGAGATAAAAAAAAAAAAGAAAATATTTGATTTTTTTACGGTAGTAACATGTAAGTCTTTGAATGTATTGGAAATTTAAAAAGTTGTGTTAAATTAGAGTTTAAAATTTTAACTACTGTAAGTAAAATAATTATAATTTTATTTATTTTAAAAAAATAAAATTATATTGAGAATTTATAAAAGTAAATAGGATGTGTCAAACTATATTAATTTTTTTTTGTGAAACAGAATACAGATAGTTCACTCTTCCCTGACAGTAAAATCATGTGTAAAATTAGTTGTATAACTTCTACACTCATAAATACATATGTGATCCAATTGTTAGAAATAATATTTAATCCCATAATAATGTAATTAATGTTTTTTTTAGCAATTTAAATTTTATATATACTCATAATTTTTGGAAGCATATTTTACAAATTCATATTTATTTGAGAAAATCACTTGTGTGTGGTCTTAGTGATTTTTTTTATATGATGTTTAAAATTAATATATACTGAAATATGATATCCTCAAAAAATATTATGAAAACATGAGATTTAAAAAAATTGAAAAAAATAAAAATTCAAAAATTGCAAATGACAAATTTGAATATCATATTTTTGTAATTTTTCTAAAATTTTATATTTTTAATATATAATATTTTAAAATCTCATATTTAAGTTAATTTTCCAGTTTTAGTTGTTGATAATATATTTAAAATAGTATCATTTCTCGTATATTAAATGAAACATTTTATACAATAGTGTAACATATTGATTTTAAATAACCGTTACACCTATTTTAACATAAATAAAATAAAAAGGATATAATTTCAATTTTAAAAAATTGAAAAACATGTTTCAATGTCCATTTTACGTTAGTCCTATGATTGATTTTGAAGTGTTTAAGATCACTAAAATATGTTTGTATTGAAAAGTATTTTTAGAAAGTATAAGAATTAATATTTTAATTTTAAAACAAATAGAAAAATCAACTAGTTAAAAGGTGTTTTTTACCTATTGAAAATTAAATGCTGTAAAAAATATCTGTCGACACTAGAGACTCAATATTTTAAGATCTACAATATCGCGTGATGTACTTTGTCGTGAGCGAAAGTTATTAGTTAATTAAGACAACCGTAGCATTGGTATTTTGAATTAGACAAATTAATTTCGAAATATTTGAAGACTTGTTTATACGTGTATGCATAAGATTATATGACATTAAACATTAAATTTAATAAAATAATATTTTTAATAATTTATTTTTATAAAAAAAAAATGACTTGCTTCTATTATCACCATTATTATTAATGTAATATTATTACTTAATTACATATGAGTGTTATTATTGTTATGATTTCTGTCCTCATTTTCATTTTCACTCTCTATGTTATTATTGCACCTATGACCATATTGATTCACCCCTCAAATTATCTATATTTATTTTTTACTTTACCAACACCCTTTATTTTCATTTTTATCGTAATTGCTTATTATTATTATTATTATTATTATTATTCAATTGTTGAAGTCATTGTTAATATAATTACATATAAATTAATTTATTAAAATTTAAAATTTTAATTCATATAATATTAAGTGGGCGCATAATCCTTTTTTTAAGATATGTTATTTTGTTATTAAAAAATTCACCTTTAATAGCAAGTTGTTTGTATGAATATAAAAGCGTAATTTATTTCATGAAGCGTGAAAATATCTTTTAAATACTAAAATAATCAACAACAAATTATTTAAAGAAAATTTTGATGAGAGAAACATATGGTAAATAAGTAAATGAATTAATTTTAGAAATTTAAGTCTTAATTGTTTTAAATAAATGAGCTAAATTTAAAAGTAACCTCATGTAAGTGGTAAGCAGATGGTAGAAGCTGGGGGAAGTTACTCTTTTCTGCCTAACCAGAATAAACATATTTTACGCTTAATATTTCACTTAACATTTTTAAATTGAAAGATAAATAAAAACCATCAATAAGAAAAAAAAATGTTCATATTGCGTTTTTGAATTTGTTTGTTGTTGAAAGATCTGAATGTGTGATTGGTAAAAGTTCGCAAGAAGTTATTTGTTGCATAAAGAAAATAAGTTAAATGTTGCTGTGTAAAAATATGAGAAAAAAAAAACTATCAACTGTTTAATGGACAGTTTATTATAATATAAAAATTGGGATAAAAAAAAAAGCATAGTTGATTAGTTATTATAAAAATGAGCGAATAAAACTTATTAGACAAATAGTTGAAAACAGCCGCCTAATTTGTTGTGGATAAAATACTAATTATATAAATATAAATTATGAGTAAATATTGCTAAATTTCGGGATCTATTTTTTGAGGCTCTCAAGAACAACTTTTAGCTACGTGGCCTAGAGCGGCCCTTAGGGAATTTTAACGGTTAATTTGATGTTATAAGAAAATACACAAGTAAAATAAAAAAATAACATTAACTAAAGATTAAAGTCAAAATTATTAACTATTAAGGTTTTATTTAAACACTCCTTTAAACTCTGCTATTATCAATTCTAAAAATTTCCTTCTCATTAAATTTCATGATTGACAATTTTTTTTTGGTAAAAAATGATTAATTATGAACAAGATTTTGATATTGAACAACATATTTTTCAATGAAGAGTTGTTTGGATGGAGGGAAAGAATGAGAAGAAGAAAGAAACAAGAGGAGAAAGGTTTAGTGTTGGGATGGACAGGGGAGCCATGAGGGGTAGTTTTTATTTTAATTTATTTGTAAGATTCATAAGAAAAATTCTCCTAAAATGAACAGAAATTGAAAGAAGAGAGGGAGAAGGGAGTAAGTGGAGGGAGGGATAAGTGAAAGTTGTGAGTTTTGTTTTATATATTTTTAAAAATATATTTATATGATATAAAAATATAATATAATTAATTTTTTCATTTAAATAAGTGAAATATATATATTATTTTAATCCATTAAAAAATTAAAAAATTATTGTATATATTTTTATTTTATTTCTTTTCACTCTATTTCAATTCTTATCTAAACACACCATTATGCTTATTTTTATTTTTATTTTTACACTTTAATTTAATGTATGATTTTAATTTCTTTAATTTAATTGCTCATATTAGTTTATTAATTTTTTAATTATTAAAATTAAGTCCCTTAACCCAAAATATTGTCTAATAATTAACAAAATTGTAATAGAAGTGTGACACATTATTAATTTTTATAAACTACAAAAATATATAAATAGAAATAGTAAATAAAATATAATAAATTTTATTTATTTATTATTTTTTGAGATGGTATTAATATTATGTTATATATTTATTATAAATTTATTTTTTACTAGATAAAATTAAATAAACCTTTTAATTAAAATTGATGTTTTAAAAGTTGTTATTTTAATACTAAAATTAATAATAATAGTAAAAAATATATATGAATGTTAATTAAATAATAATGTATAATAGCTATTCTATATAAAAACAAAAAAAAAATCTATTTTATATTTAAATTCAGTACTTCAATAAAACAAACTTACATTTAAGAGGTAAACCAATTTACCACAAAAATTTTCACATTTTTTCATATAAAAACAACGTCCTTAAAAATTGCAAAAATCTCTGTATAAAAAAAATCCAGAGAGTAGAAGTTTCATCCAATGAACACTGTCGCTCTTAATGTAATAATAAATAATAAAAGTAAGTAAAACGGCAAAGCAATGCAACCACTTCATTTACTCACGAGTCACACAGCATAAACAGAGTTACCGTTACATATATAATATACTGCAAATGTTTGGGGTGCGTACACTTAGACTGATATTTTTTTTTTTTGGGCTATTCACAATCACATAGACTGATTTTTTGAAAAATGATAAGTGATGCGCTGTGATAAAAAATATAAAAAATTGAATAATATTATATTATTTAAGCGTTTATGAATAAACGTTGATATATATGCATTAATATATGGCAAGTTTTATTCTTCTGAAATAATAAATCAGTATATTATAGTATTCATGACGAGGTTTTTTATAAATTATATAATAAATTGGGAGTTGTGGTGTTTTTATGAAATAATAAATTAGTCCTGTGAAAAAAACACAGGCGTTTTGTCCTTTTACCTTTGGAGGTGGTGTTAATTAACATAAAAGAAAATAAATAAAAATAAATGGAGGGAAAAGAGAGTGGCAGAGAGGGAAGGGAAGAGAGAAGACAGTTGGACGCCGGGACTTGACACGAGGAGCAGAAGAGAAAGAAAAGAACCCATAAAATAAAATAAAAGAAGAGTTAGAACAAATAATTAAAAAAAAAAAGATACCGAGGGAGAGAGAGAGAGAATGAATCTCCGTAGTCCATAGAAGTGAGAGAGAAGCAGTGAAGGAGAAGAAAAGCAATAGCGCTGATAGTGTTGTTGTTGTTGCTTAGCGGTTTCTGCTCCGCTACTCTTCAAACCTCGCTTTTTTGTTTCTTTCTTCCTTCTTCGTTTTCTCCCAACAACCTCCACTCTCTCTCTCTCTCTCTCTCTTGCTGTTAAACCCACCTTCCTTCATTCTCTCTCTCTCTCTCTCCTCTTTTGCTGTTTGCTGCTGCATCGTTTTCTTTCGTTCTATTCCTAACTGATCACTCATACACTTGTTTCCGCACTATCCTTTTTCTTTGCTTTTGGCCTTTCGGATTCCGATGGAAACATCAGAGAATTGCTCTGTCAAAGTCGCTCTTCACATTCGTCCTCTCATTGCCGATGAACGACAACAAGGTTGCATTGAATGCGTTTCCCTTACTCCTGGAAAGCCCCAGGTTCTCACTTCTCCTCCTTCTTCTTCCTCTTCCTCTTCATCGTTCCCTTTTTTTTATCTATTTTTATTCCCAGCTATATATTATTATTATTATCATCATCATCATCTTTGTCGTTTAGCTTAGAGTTCATTAATTAATGACGTGTTCATCATTTTTCGGCACCGGGGTTTGCTTAATTATATAATTTAGAAGATTCTTTCTTACTTTTTTTTATATATAAAAAATATTTACGGTTCCATTTACGATTCCTTTCTTGTTTACTTACAATGTGCGCTTAAAATTTACTTCAATAGCCTATGTAGGAAAATTAAAAATAGAAACGAAAAAAATATGAAGTTCAGCTTCAGAGGTTTCAGTTACAATTTGGGGTTAGTTGATTAGATAAAAATTATGAAATTGATGTTTGAAAGTATTGGTGGTTTTTATTAAAAAAATATTATTATTATTATTATTAGTCATGACTCGTGTCTGTATAAGTGAGACATTTTCCTTTTTTATGCAAAACTAATTTTCACATACCCTCATCCTATTTTTGATTGCTTTCTCGTTTTGCATTTTTCGTCCTTTTTCTTTATCTTACTCGCATTGAAATTGATCCGTGGGATTTGAAATTTGTCGTTGCTTGTCATTTCAGTTCTGGAAATTTAGATCATATTGTTTTGGAATTTTAAGTCATCGCACCTAACTTACATTTGTATATTCTTCTATTTTATTAAGCTGAGATCAGTGAGATAAAATGAATAGTATGATATAAGGTCACACACAGTTTTAAGAAAAAAGAAGAAAATTTGTTCTGTTAGGATTGTGGACTACTGGACTTAAATTCCATAGAAGTATACTCTTTTGCATGGAATTACAATGTTAAGTGAATCGGGAGACTTTAAATTAATGCATTCGTTGGTGAACGTTCTCTTACTTTGAAAATTGCAAGTATGGGCTCCTATTTTCCGATATTATTTTGTTGTTACACATGGAAAAGGTAAGAGTGACCTTGATAATCTGCGCATTAGTTGTGGTCTCAGCTCCTGAAAATCTGATTACGGTATTTCAATGATCAGGTTCAAATTGGGTCACATTCCTTTACATTTGATCACGTTTATGGAAATGGTGGATCTCCTTCAGCTACCATGTTTGAGGAATGCATTGCTCCATTGGTTGATGGCTTATTCCAAGGATACAACGCCACAGTACTTGCTTATGGTCAGGTTAGGTCCACTTGCATGTCATGTAGTCTAATTTGAGAAAGATTATTATGTACATCTTTCGTATTTGACATACATATTTGCCACAGACAGGATCTGGGAAAACGTATACCATGGGAACTGGCTATAGTGACAATTGTCGGATTGGGTTAATTCCACAAGTTATGAATACCTTGTTCAACAAGATTGAAACACTAAAGCATCAAACAGAATTTCAGTTGCATGTCTCCTTCATTGAGGTATATCCATTATGCTATGCTGGTCACCGTGGTCTGCGTATGCACCCTCTTGTCAAGCATTCAAACTTTGGGTTTATGTTTTAAATTTGATCCCTTATATGGTAGGTTCGTGGAACTTGTCAAATTAGGGAAGTGCCATGTGAAATGGATTTTCCACACAGCAGTTTATTTTGAAACAATGCTACAAGCTTATAATTGGCTGGCTGTGCCTGTAACATTGCTTTTTATAGGAAAAAGAAATCTTTCCGTGAATTCTTTTTCTTTTTAAGACTTAATTGTGCATTTGATTTTGAAGATTTTGAAGGAAGAGGTGAGGGACTTGTTGGATGTGGTATCTATTAGCAAATCAGAAACCTCTAACTCTAATGGCCATACTGGAAAAGTAACTGTTCCTGGAAAGCCACCAATTCAAATTCGTGAAACATCAAATGGAGTGATAACACTGGCAGGAACAACTGAAGTTGCTGTAAGTACATTACAGGAGATGGCTGCTTACTTGGAGCAGGGTTCTTTGAGTAGGGCAACAGGAAGCACAAATATGAACAACCAGTCCAGGTAAATAATGAGCACTCAGTCTTCCTTGTCCCCCAAATAAATAAATGATGCTCAATGCTGTCATTTTGTGTTTGATAGTTCAGAAAATTGAAGCAGTTTCTTCACACTATGGATTCTGCTCTGGTGATATTTTAATGTGTGTTGCGAAATTTAACATCCTTTTATTGTAAACTTTTGTAATATCAAATTCCAAATCATGTTCATTGTATTAGGAAGATGAGTACTGAATGAAAAATCATCCTTTATTTTGTAAAATCAGATGATGTTTTGTATATGAAATTATCTAAATGGGAAAGCAAAACAACCGAGACTAATAAAAGACAGTATCATTTTCTTTTTTAATTCGTATTTATTAATTATCAATAATTTGGTTTGGAATGCTTTCTAAGTACTGTTTTTTCTTGAATATAGTTTTTCTACGGTTTCTTTGTCTTTTCTGTAGTAGGGGTGGGTAAGTTTTAACATTTCATCATAATTTCCATTGGATTCTGAACTCACACAACAAATATGATGATGGAAAAGTCTTATTTTTATGGTTTCCCCTAAATTAAATCTTTATAATCTAATAATGTGTTGTTCGTCTTTTGCTTGTATTAGTCGGTCACATGCCATTTTCACCATTACATTAGAGCAGATGCGCAAACTCCATTCTGTTTCTCTTGCCAATGACACCTCAGATGAGGATATGGGTGAAGAATACCTTTCAGCAAAGCTTCACTTGGTAGATCTAGCTGGATCTGAACGAGCTAAAAGAACAGGTTCTGATGGTCTTCGTTTGAAAGAAGGTTGGTGATACATGATTAACCTGAGTACCTTTTATACTTTTGTTTCAAAAATAGTGTCAACCAGTGTTTCAATATTGAAAATAAGGATTTGATGACTATTTAATAGGCATACATATCAATAAAGGTCTTCTTGCTCTTGGAAATGTCATAAGTGCACTGGGGGATGAGAAAAAGCGAAAGGAGGGCATGCACGTTCCTTATCGGGATAGCAAACTCACTCGACTCTTACAGGTTAGAGTAACATTTTGTTCTTTGACATACTAGTTGTGTATACACACACGCACATGTACACACACCTTTCATGTATGGTTTTAAAATGTCAAACTTTGCTCCTTTCACAATAAATCACTCCTCTCATGTGACATGGCCCCTATATATCTATCATTGATTCATTTTTTTTCTGTTGGTATAACTTTTGGTCTTTGTCTAACTTGTTAATTGTCTCATTTTTTGCCATTGTAGAATCAGCTTTACGATAGCTTTCTTTTTTGGTAGTATTATGCAATGTCTTGATAACACTTGCAATGGACAATCTATTTTAACATATTCTTTGTATATTTCATAGTTTAATCAAAAGCTTTAAAGATTCTATCTTCTGTAACCTCATAAATATTATGGACTCCAACTTGTTTGTGGTTTTTAAGCTTTCAAGGAACTAACTATTGAATAAAAAAATCAAATGAAAGTATACAGTATTAAATAATTAAATTTTGGTGTTATCAACATAATAGCTACTGGTTATCTGTATCTTCTATATGGAAGTCAGCAAGCTTGACATTACTTGTGAGTTTACCCTTTCAATTGAAGACTGTAACTAAGAATTCTTGGTTCTTGATATCAGTCTCTTAAGAATCTTTTGATCCATAGTCACTGGTCCTTGTTGCAGGATTCACTTGGTGGAAATAGCAAAACTGTCATGATAGGTAATACTGCTGAAAGTTGATTCATGGCTCCCAATATTTCAAGCGCTTAAGCATGTTCCTGTTTTCTCTCGTATTCAATCCCCTTAAAATATGAATTACTCCTCATTATTAATGTATAAGCCTGTTAACTAATTTCAAGTTCTTGTAGTAACATTTATTTTCTTCTTGGTCCCTGAAGACTATTTGTTTTTCAATGTTTTGTTGTGCATATTCCTATTATATACCACAAAATTAGATGGGCAGTATTTTCGTCTTTTTAATTATATTTTAGGAAAACTTATTTATGCCCCTTTTTTACATGCAATTTATACTATCTTTTTATCACAATATGAATACAGTAAGGGAAAGATTAATTTGGCCAAGTGGAAAAAGATACTGTAGGAGTGCATCTTATTTATTTACAGACATGTTGATTGATCAACAGTTTGGCAAAACATCAAGTAGGCCTATTAAAGACAAAATGAAATTGGACCACATATTCAGATAAAAGCATTTGTTGGTTTTGGATTCTACATGATGAGTTAAAGATATTTCTTCTTTTAGACATATTTATTAGATACTGTATAGCTTATATTAAAAATAGACAATGAATTATTGTCATATACAGATAAACTTATAATATTGTTTCCCTAATCAAACTAAATTTTTTACTCACTTTTTAAACACAAATGTTTCCCCTTTTCCCAGCTTGCATTAGTCCTGCTGACATCAATGCTGAGGAATCACTCAATACTCTCAAGTATGCAAATCGTGCTCGCAATATTCAAAATAAGCCTGTTGTAAGTTTCCATGATCAATTTTTACTTTATCGTTCTTGTCCTGTTCTTCACCTTAGGAAGATGAGGAAATTCATTCTGGTCAAGTTTCATTTGTTATAATCTATATTGTTAATTTTACAGGTTAATCGAGATTTAATATCCAATGAGATGCAGCAATTGCGCCAGCAGTTAAAGTACTTGCAGGCTGAACTCTGCTCTCGGGGAGGAGCTCCCGCCGATGAAGTGCGGGTAGTTATCATAACTGAAAGTTGCATTTTGAATTAGCATGAGATAAATTGAGTTTCATATATTGTCTGCTGCTCTTCTTGTACAGGTTCTTAAGGAAAGGATTGCTTGGCTTGAGGCAACTAATGAGGACCTCTGTAGAGAACTTCATGAATATCGCAGTAGATGTGCTTTTGTAGAGAGATGTGAAATTGATGAACCAGTATGTGAATAGGAAAATCTTTAAAACTAAAATGCTTGTCTTTTACTATAACTTTTATTGATTAAATATCATTGAAATAATTGGATGGATATAAAGCATATTAGTGGTTATATATGGTTATGGTGTATGCTAATTTTGCTTCCTTGAAAATTACCACAAAATGGTACTTAATGCTTTTTTTCGTTTTCTCAGGATGGACACATTTATCTCATGAAAACTGATGGGCTTGAGAGGTGCTTCCAGAGCTCAGATTCATCTGACCATCCTATGGCTGGAAGTATATCAGGTAGATGTTAGAACCGTGGCAGAGAAACATATGATTGATGTCAATAAGAGACTTAAAAGTGTGGAATGTTTATTATAGGAAGAAGGGTAGAAAAGAGTCAGCTGCCGAAGATAAACATTAAGACTTAGCTAATGTTAGTTTGTTAATGTTGCTAGCAAATTCTGTAAATAGTTAGTTTCTTGATTGAGGTACTATTGATTCTGTTGGTTGTTTTGGGGAGGATTTTATTCTCTGTGCAAGAGCTTGGGGGATTCTTTGGTAATCCTAATTCTTTCTAGTGATGAATAAAACCACCATTTTTCTTCAATCCTTACCTTGATTTTATCTCTGAACCCTAACAGTAGACATTATTTAGCTGTATTTTGAGTCATAAGAACCCAGTTGATTTTATAATTTAAGAATTTCAATATATTTGAATTTGTAACATGGTAGAGGGGGAGAGGAAATAGATAACTCATCCTCCTGCCTCCATTTTTCTGGAAAAATGTATGAGCTTTTGTCCAAGTTACTACATTTATGGAGGGTGTACATTCGCCATACTTCAGCACTAGAGTCTAGAGATGAATGATATGGGATTAAGTGGGGTTTGGTACTTAGTTGTTCCCCACTGTGTTTGAGATGTTGAGTAGCTCCCGACTATGTTGGTTTTGATTTGTTGAGAGAAGCTGTTACACTTTTGGTTGAGTCATCAACATTGGGATGCTATCTCCTTTTTTCTCTCTTTTTGCAGGTGAGGATTCAAGGGAAACTGATGAAGCGGCAAAAGAGTTGGAGCATGTAATATTACAAAATACCATGGATAAAGAGATGAATGAGTTGAATAAGCGCTTGGAGCAAAAAGAGGTTTCATTTTTATAATTTGTTTTGAAATCGTACATATGAGTGATCATAAATGTCTCCTGCGAAGGTTTTTTTAATCTATTTATGCACATTTTAGAACCCCTTTTTTTTTTAGTAAAAAACATTAAATTTGATGAGATGTGAACTTGTATGTGTAATAGTAGTTTATCTCTCAGAAGCAAACTTAGTGCCTCTATCTAGCTGTTGAGAAGGGATGGCAAAAGAATTCTAGGTATTAGCCAAGTTAGTATCTTTCAAGAAGCAATCTAGGAAGGGTAAAACAAAAATGAATGATATTGGAATGTGTTAGTTTATTTAATTGGTCCATAAGCTAAGACTGCAGGACCCCAAAGAGAATAAATCTGTAAATGCAGTGTTAACTTTATGGTGTTTCATATATGGGTGAACATAAAGCCATATCATTCTCTATTATGACCGAGGCAGAGAGATGAGCTTTCAATTGAGTATCTGAATCTGTCCCCTTTTCTCTCGCAGTCTGAGATGAAGCTTATTGGAGTTGATACTGAAACACTCAAACAACACTTCGGGAAAAGAATTATGGAACTAGAGGAAGAGAAAAGAAAAGTGCAGGTTGAACTGGACTTATTTAAATTTTTAATAGCTGTCAAGTGCTACACAAGAAGTCTCTTTTTATCCTAGTGATGGATTTTGGACTGATAATGACAGCAAGAGAGGGACCGTTTATTGCATGAGGTAGAGAATCTTGCAGCTAACTCAGATGGGCTAGGACATAAAACTCAAGATGTTCGTGGCCAAAAGTTGAAAGCATTGGAAGCACAGGTGATTTTTAATTTTCATTAATTCCATTCTCAAGTCATAAGGTTATCTTTCTTGGACAATAATTTGTTTTTCTAAAAAAATATTGAAACATCAGATTTTAGATCTCAAGAAGAAACAAGAAAACCAGATGCAGCTATTAAAGCAAAAGGAGAAGAGTGAAGAAGCTGCCAAAAAACTGCAGGCTGAGATACAATATATCAAGGCTCAGAAGGCCAGTTCCCATTTGTTGAGCTAATTAATTATTAAGATTTTTTTCATGTCTGACATTTGTATTCATATACGTTGCAGGTTCAGTTGCAGCATAAAATGAAGCAAGAGGCAGAACAATTTCGACAATGGAAGGCTTCTCGTGAGAAGGAGCTACTCCAGGTGGTCTGCTTACCTTTATAAAGATGACATCATAATTTTGTTTGAACTAAAGAATGCAGGGGAATTTCAATATGCCTTGCTGTGATCAACTTGAGGTCCCTGTTGCTGAATCTTAGTGTGCTGCTTATCCCATCAAATTATAAAATCCGTGATTGCGTATTGCATTAAATAACTGCTGTTAGATATAAACCATTTGAGTTTTCTTCTAATAGTTTTAACTTTTGTGATAGTTGTTCATGACATGATATTAGAGCCTCTATGACCAAGTGATCAGGTGTTTGTTCCTTGTTCCCATTCGTTTAAATAAAAATGAAATTTCTTCACAAGGTAAAGTGGATTTTGCATTACCCCTGCTTCAAGTCCAAAGGGCTGTTGTTTGAGGAACATGTTAGACATAGAAACAATTTGTACTTTTTAAGCCTTCACCGAACATCTTAAGCTTTTGGGAGAGTTAGTCTTTGACAACTACGCTTCTATTTCAAATAAAATGACAAAATAATTAAACATTAAAATTTAAATAAAATACTGTTCCTCTAGGCTTTTGCTTCTTGTCAAGCATGTTTATTGTGGTTAACCTTTATTTTGTTCTGTAATTTTAGTATTTTGTTATGTTTTATATATCAGTTGTCAAAATGCATCATAAGGGAAACTCGTCTTTTAAGTTGAGCTTTCTACTTGATTGACTCTATAATTTGAAGTTTTATTCTTTTATTTGGATATTGATCTGTAGAAAATTTTGTAGATTTGCAATGGTGTCCTCTAACAATTAATCATATGCTATGGTTGTACTTAAAACTTTGAGTAATGCGTGTGGTTGTGTCGTATTACTGTAACTTTAATCTTGTTTTTCATTTTAAGCAGTTGAAAAAGGAGGGAAGAAGGAATGAGTATGAAAGACATAAACTTGAGGCTCTAAACCAGCGTCAAAAAATGGTAAGTTAAAGATCTAAAATTAATTGGAAATTAATGTGTGATTATTATAGAATGAGAAGGAAGTAGATAAGTGTTAATTATTATGTGCAGGTTCTTCAGAGGAAGACAGAGGAAGCAACAATGGCTACAAAAAGGCTAAAAGAATTGTTGGAAGCCCGCAAGTCTTCTCCCCGCGACAACTCTGGTACAATTTGACTTGGAATTATTTTCTTTTTACTGCGTACTCTAGTTTCCTAACTATTTTGCTGTCTCTTTCAGTTTATTCAAATGGACATCTACAGCCTGGGCTGGTAATAATCTATGCTTATATATTATGCAATTTGTCAGCTTACAAGTCAATAAAAAATGTTGTGATAAAGCAGTGCAGCTTTGTATGCTTCTTGTTAGCTACCTTTGAACCAACCATAAAGTGAAACAGTGTTATCCTTATGCATCTTTTGAAAAATTGATAATCTTTCTACATGCTATTAAATCAGGCTGGCAAGTTGATTTGAATTGTATTTAGTTAAAGTCTGCTGTTGAATTTATTTCCTGACATGTTAAAATTAGTATGCTTTTAGACCTCCATACCATCCCTTCAAATTGACTTTTCTGTGATTTAATATTTCCAATGAATTTGTTTTAGAACAATTTTAACCTGATGTTTATGTCCAGGTCAATGAAAAATCCCTCCAAAGGTGGCTTGATCAGGAGCTGGAGGTGATGTTACATGTTCACGAAGTTCGCGCTGAACATGACAAACAAAATCAAGTGTATGTGAACACAGTTTCTTTTTATCCGTTTTCCCCTTTTAGTACAGAATATCACATTCCCAAACTATCTCTTCTTTTACAATTGATTGGAATTTTTTCTAGACAAGCTGCATTGGAAGAAGAGTTGGCTTTTCTAAAACAGGATCAATTTTCTGATGGGCAGAGTATTCTTGCAGGAAAGAGCAGATATTTGAGGTAGAAATTTTTCATGCGTCTTGTTCTCTCTGTTGCTATTTTGGAGTAATTCCCTATTTCTGTAACTTACTTTTTCCTCTTGTTTTCCCATTTGATAGGCTGTTATCCATGTCACCCGATGCAAAAGTTGAGAGAATAGCTTCTCTTGAAAACATGCTGAGCATGTCTTCAGTTGCTTTGAAGGCCATGGCTTCACAACTTACTGAGGCAGAAGAAAGAGAACGAATGTTAAATAACCGTGGACGATGGAACCAGCTCCGCTCAATGGGAGATGCAAAGCATGTGCTTCAGTATTTGTTCAATGCTACTGCAGAAGCAAGGTGCTTTCAGAATCTTCTGAGATTCTGATTAATCTTTTATAGCATCTATTTATATCAGTTGACTTGAATGTGAGAAAGTTATCAATTTATAAAGATGCACTTTTACTAAGTAGACCAAAGTCTTTGGCAAGTGACTAGAGGGAAAATCTGAGCAGTGTGTCAGAGTCTGTTGAGACTTGATATGATTATTTACTTTATCAACTGCACATTAGCACTTTTTTTTGGCTGGGTATTTTTTTTTCGTTGGCCATATTAAATGTCAGCTTTTTGGGAAAATCTTAAGAGTCTTCTTGTTTCCTATTCTAAGTAGTGGTTGCTGGCATAATCTTTAATAGGTGCCAATTGTGGGAAAAGAACATGGAACTCGAGGACTTGAAAGAGCAACTAAATGAGCTTGTAGCACTACTGCAACAAAGTGAAGCACAGAGAAAAGAACTTGTGAAGGAGCAAAAAATAAGGGAACAAGCTGTTGCCATCACATTGGATACATCGGCATTGGTGAGATTTTACTCATTCTATTATCAATTAGCATGAGCTTGTGCAGTAAAATGTTTCAACTACTACATTAGACAGCTATAGATTGTCGGTAACAAGCGTTTGAAATAGTTTAGTGCACGATTAAAAAACTCGTGCAAAAGAGTACTTCTAGTGGCGCCGATGATTTTGAGAAATGACCGTCTAAACCTTCATACCTTATTTTATTGGAGCCAAAATCATGTATATCAATTCTTTAGATTCTTAACTAGGATTATAATCAAGTTTCTTACTGAAACTAACAGGAAAACTCACGGTCCTTGAAACACCTTGCGGACGAAATGAGTGGTCCTTTGTCTCCAATGTCACTTCCTGCACCGAAGCAACTCAAATTTACTCCTGGAGTTGTTAACTGGTCAATCAAGGAGTCGGCTACGTTTTTAGATGAAGCACGAAAGGTATCCCTCATTCATTTCATTTCTCTGATGATGATAATTTTTATTTTTCAATTAAGCTGTAATGGTTTTAAATTCAGATGATACCCATTGGAGACTTGTCAACAAAGAGGCTAGCAGCTATTGGGCAAGCCGGAAAACTTTGGAAGTGGAAGAGAAGTCATCATCAATGGCTTCTACAGTTTAAATGGAAGTGGCAGAAGCCCTGGAAACTCTCAGAATGGATTAAACACAGTGATGAGACAATTATGAGATCAAGGCCCAGAGCCCAAGCTTTGATTAATGCGATGTGATGTGATATTGAGCTCGTAGTAAGGGACATTTATGATTCTGAATATTCACCGTGGTGTGTTTCAATACGACTTGACTAGTGGAAAGGTAATTGCAGGTAATCTTTATTCTGTTGTTCCACAATTATTTTTAGCATCCAAGACTGCTCAGTTTTGCTAGATGTGCGTTGAAATCTTTTCCGTACTATCTAAAGTACTACGTAGGTATTGCATGAATTCTTTATACCGATAAACCAGCTGATTGATACCATGAGAGAAGAAAATAAAATAAATCAGCAAGATACGAATCAAAATTTTCATATAAGTAAATATCAACACCTGTAAACTCTGTCACGTAAGCTCTATGTTTAATTTCTCTTAAAAGAGGATGCTAGGAATACCCTTTTTTTAACACTTAATTATTTATTAGAATTTATTGAAAATTACTTAACTAACGTGAATTTTATTTTTTTTCATTTTAAATTAATGTTTTTCTTTATCGTATTTTTGTAAAAAGAATGTGTTAGAGAGTACAGAGTTAGCTTTTTCTCTTAAATACTTACCTATAAACTTGTGTAGATATTTTTAAGTTGGGAATCAAATATTTATCTCAGTTGAAAAGTTCTCATAAATTGAATTATGCGCTATTCTTTCAGAAATCGTAAGTCCTTAATTTTCTTGTCGTTTGTGTATTATTTATTTTACAAAATATACTTAACTAGCTTATGCTATTTCTCCGCAAGTGTTTTAACTATATTCCTTTTACCACATCACTTCAAGATGTTTCCAACTCATTGGGTTGAGAATTTGTGGACATTGAACAGAATCAGTGGCATACCATGTATGAGTAACGTCCATGATTTCTGAAAATTTTGTTAATTATCAGCTTCCTATAGTTGAATTATTCTCACAATTTGCAGTTTGCACCCAGGCATGATGTAAATTGGAAGAGTTTTCTGGGATTTGTCGGATCTTTTTGTGGAGGTACAGTTCGGTTATTGGAGAAGGTTGTCATGATTCTGTGTAGCCTGTAACAACACATGGTAATTGGTAGGTGTAGCTGACACGGACAGTATCAGAGGAAGGAATTAGTTTTATAATACATATATTGATAGGGAACTTCAAACTACTGCATAGATTAGAATATGTAGTTTGTGAAGTTGTTTCATGTTAATTCTGTAATTTTGTTTTAAATTTTTTTTTTTTTTTTTTTTTTGTGGATTGTGATCAGTTCAGCGTCAACTTTGTTACGTGCTTGGTCTCTCCCTGTTTTGTAATCAACAAAAGCAACAGAGACTGGGACGTGGGGAAAGAGGACAAGCTGGAAATCTTAATTCGTCACATGAACGACACAATGTATATAATCAAGAGCAATATTATCAATATACTTTTTGACACACATTTTATTATTAATTAAAACTTATTAAAAATTTTAAAAAAATAATTGAAGAGTGAAAAAAATGAGACTTGTATGTTTTTTTATATAATTTTTAATAAACAGTAAAATATGTTGCTAGTATTATTCATATAAATAATAAATGGTTTCAACGATGTTAATTTCAGTTATGAAAAATGAGTTTTTTTAGTAATATTCTTAAAGATGAGTTTAAACACTAAAAAATAGTAAAATTTTATTCAAAATATAAAATATAATAAATATTTTATTTTAATAACATTATTATTATATATTTAAACTCAGTTTTTAGAATTGAAGTAAAACTGTATTTTTAATGTTCAAATTTTATATGACAAAATCATAAGTTGTGTATCTCATAATAGGACAACAAATAAGTGCCGTCATACAGAAATTAATAAAAAGAGATAAAGACAATATACACATGTCATGATACGTAAGATTTTCTTCCTCACGAGTGTATAATGTAAAAATATTACATGCACCTTATTCTATGTTTTAAATTAAGTAATTTATTAGTTAATTAAATAACTTGAATTTTTAATATATATATATATATATATATATATATATTATTTTTAATATCTTATTATATATCTATGCGCAACCCATAAAAACCTCAAACAATTTGTAAAAATTGTCACTTATACTACATCATATAATGTGGTAGTTAATCACATAAGAATACCCTTTAGCCTTCCTTGTAGAGGGAAAAAAAATGTACGTTTTTTTGTGTTGTTTTTTCTTGGATATTGATTTTTTCAGTTTAAATTTACTTAAACAAAAAATGATTTTGTCTTGAACCAAAAAAATTTGCTGAAGCAAATTTAGTAAAATGTAATTTTTGTTTAAACAAAAAAAATCGCTTAAGTCAAAATTATAAAAAAAAATTAAATATCTTTTTTTTCTAAACTATAGAAAATTTGAGCAACTTTTGTTTCTTACTAATAATTATCTAATTACCAAAGACTCTTATATATTTTATTCTACTAAATATTCTAAATGTATTGTTTAATGTGCTACTTATGCTAAACATTAGTGAGGTAAAACTATTTGAAATCAAGTTAAATTGTTGAAAATGATGATAAAGATTATAAGCCTGATAATTTTGAGAAATTAATTAAAAAATAGTTGCATTATTACATGTTTTGAAATAATTAAATTTTTATAATGTGACTATATAATCTTGCACAAATATTTTTAAATGTATTGTTTAGTGTGCTATTTGTACTAAACATTAACGAAGTAAAACTATTTAGAATAAAGTTAAATTGTTAAGAATGATGATAAAAATTATAAAAATAATAACTTTAAAAAATTAGTTGAGAAATAGTTATATTATTACATGTTTTGAAACACTTGAGTTTTTATTGTATAATTATAAAGTGTGACTATATTATTTTGCATAAATATTTTTTAACTTTTCTATAATTTAAAGAGAAAAAAGATAAATTTTTAAAACTTTTTGTAATTTTGGCTTAAGCAAATTTTTTTAACTTAAGTTAAAATAACTTTTTACTAAATTTACTTAAATAATTTTTTTTATTTAAATGAATTTAAACTGGCTTGTAAATAAGCTGAATATCCGAATCCGTTTTTCCTTTTGGTCATTAATGTAAACTTGTTTTGAATTTGAAAGTTATTCAAATTCCTTTACTCAACCCAACAGCTAGGTGGGGCTATCTGACACAGATAAGAGTTGAACTTTACATGGTTGTTTATGACCGAAGGAAGCCGTTCGACAATGTAGCAGTTGAACACCTGAACCTGACAGAGTTAATTTTCAGACTTATTTTTATGGTCAAATTCAGTTTTTCTATTTAAATTATTATTCCTTCCAGTTTTTTTGTATGACTTTTTTTTTAAAAATTTGCGGCCTTTAATAAATTATAACAAAAAAAATTATTTATTATTTTTTAATAAATTTATACTTCATAAATTTTTAATCTTTTAATTTCTTAATAATTAAATTATAATAAAATTTAATTTTAAATAGACGTAAACTTAAAATATTATAATTAGTTTTGAAAATCAACATAATTAATTTCAACTTAACATATATGATTTAAGAATTATTTGAGAAGCATTTTGAAAGAAAGGAAGAGAGCAAAATTCTTATTTTAAACAAACATATTTTGGTTTACAATTTTTCAATATAAAAATATAAACTAATAAACTAAAATAAACATAATATATTATTAATTAATTGATTTATTATTATTATTATTATTATTATTATAAATTGGTATGATTTTATTTATTTAAAAAAATGTTCTTTTCTCTCTTCTTCTCCATAAAATCCTTCTCAAATATTCATTTAATTAAAAAAATCTTATAAATAAGATGGATGAAGTAATTTGAAAAGAATAGTGCTATTTGATGATAAAAAAAAATGAGCACAAATGTGGATGAAAGGGAGAAATACTTTGACCCGTCAAATGCTACATTTCCATTCATTTTTAAAAATAGAAAATTATTTTTAAAAATGAAATCAAACATAAGTATTCAAGTTTTTGGTTCCAAAAAGCTTTTTCTTTGAACAAGGCCACGTTAACGGCCAGATTGTTAACTTCCTAGTTTGGAGGACTGGGCCTTGTTAAATGGGCTGACTTCTATAAGCACCGGTATTACTTGAAATGCTTTTAATAGCACCTATTCTGTTTGAAATTCAATTCCAATTTTCAGTTTTGAAAAACAAAAAGTGTGATGTGATTAGAAGAAAATAATTGTGCAAAATGAAAAAAAGAAAAAAAAAAGAAAAGAAATTGCGATGACCATATTTGTGTACATTTCAGTCAACCAAGTCTTAAAAAATTCACCCTTTATAGTCTTTACTGCACATGTCGGAGACACAAACGGAGGCAAAATTGAAAAGTTAAAATACATTCATATAAATTCTATTTCATTGTCTGTAGAAAAAAAAACCGCACTAACCAGCCACAGCCGATAATAAAACTGTAATATCCGATGGTTCTGCTGCTTCTGCATGAGATTCTCGCAGAAATGATTGCTTAACCTTTCAACTTGGCCTGCAAAATCACTCTTCTAAATTCCTCCCCACGAGCAATTCTCTTCGATTTTCAACGAGAGCACTTGATAGTACTTGCTGTGATTGCGTTCTTCTGTTGTGTATACAATCAATCCAGTCACTGAGATTAAGACACAAACTATGAGAGTCCCACATGTGTATTGTCTTCCATGGTAACCCTGTCCTTTATTCCCTGTATCATCTTAAGGACTTGCCACATTGCTGGCCTCTGCTCCGGTGAGGTTGCACTGCAAATACTGGCAACCTCTGTGAGCATTTCTAGCCGGTTATCTTCACTGCCATCATCATCCCTCATTGCTCTGACCCAATCTTGCAGATCTGTTGGTGCAAGAAAAGGATGTTGAGAAGGATGTTTACCCGTCAAAAGCTCCAAAAGAAGCACACCAAAAGCATACACATCAGACTTCGAAGTGGCCCTGCGGCTACTTTTGCGAGCCTCTGGTGCTTTATAGGTGGCAGAATCAGGATCTTCAGCGAGTGAAGAGTCTGCAAGAAAGGCCAAACAATAATCTGTGACACAAGCTTCAAAATCGGCTCCAAGAAGGACATTAGAGGATTTCAAGTTCCCGTGAATTAAAGATGAAGCTTGGTGTATGTAAGCAAGTCCATGAGCCACATCTTCTGCTATTTTTAAGCATGATGTCCAATGCAGGGGCTTGGCCCTTGCTGATCTTGAACCTGCACATGCAGCAGCAGCTATCTCAGTTAAGAAATAATCATCAAACAGGCAAAGTTGAAATTGATTGGTCCCCTTTTGCATTTTCAGGATTTCTGACGAAGAATAACAATAAAAGATGAAACTTCTAAAATAAAACAGTATGAATAAACAATGGGTGAAATCAAAGGGAAGAAGCACGGTAGTCAACATAGCATGCAACACATTCAACCAAACATTACCCAAAATAGTCGAAACAGAGTGCAAAAAATAACCCAACCCCGTGATTATCGACATTGGATACCTCGCAACCCCACAAGCAAAACAACAAGGTAACTCTGCTAAGAACAAACAAGCAATCAATAAACAGTGGCAACGGCACTACACACCGTGTCACTGACCAATCTGACACATCATACCCTTCCAGTTCAACGCATCACAAACTAACAACAACCAATTGCAAAACAACACCCAATCCATCAAATCAAAACTCCAAGCCCCACAAACCCAAAAGCATTAGAAAGCAGAAAGCACAGAAACGGCAACAAGTCAAGGCATCGTTTGGACTAACAGCAATAAGAATAAACAGTTATTTCTGAAACGCAAAAGCAAAATGGTGGATACCATGGACGAGGTTGAAGAGGCTGCCGTTAGGTTGATAATCATAGATAACAAGCCTCTCTCCCTTGGCCTGAAAATAAGCCCTTAAAGGTACCAAATTGGGGTGGCGAAGCCTCCCCACAACCTCCATGTGACGCTCAAACACTTCCCCATTAGTCACCGCCGTTTTCCCAGCATCCAACCTCTTCACCGTCACTATCAACTGCGAATCCATCACCGCCTTGTACGTGGTTCCCACGCTCCCCCTCCCCAACAACTCCGCCGAAGCTCTCATAAGCTGTTCCAGCGTGTAATGCTGCACCTCCCCGCAGCAGAACACCAACTTCCCACTCCTATGTGCTTCTTCCATCTTCTTCACCTTCACCTCCCTCTCCCCCATTTCAATTTCCTCCGCCGCAGGAACACTTTCCATTTCCAGCGGTTCCGGTTTTCTCGAACCGGTTTGTCTTTTCCTAGCCAACGCCATCACGGCGAGTGCAAAAGCAGCGAGAATCGCAACCCCAACAAAAACGAAGCCGAAAACCAAGCCGGTTTTTTTATGGCCACGTTTAGTTCTGGTCGGGGAAGGAACCACGACGATGCCCTGAGATTCCTCGCTCTGACTCAACGGCGCCGAAGAGGACGCGCCGGTACCGAAGAAGTGAGAACGAGGGTCGCATTGTTTGTGTATGATTTCCCCGCAGAGACCAGGGTTCCCCGAAAACGACGTCGCGTTGAAAAGAACGAGGGTTGGGGTCACTGGAACCGGACCGGTGAGGTTGTTAAAAGAAACATCAAATAGTCTGAGAGCGGTTTGGTTGAGAGCGGGAACGGTTCCGGTGAAATTGTTAGAGTTAAGCCGGAGAGAAATGAGGCGGTCGAGGAGGGTTAGTTGAACCGGAAGCGAACCGGTGAGGGTATTATGGGAAAGTGAAAGAGTGAGGAGGCGATGGAGGGAAAGGATTGAAGGAGGGAAGGAACCGGAGAAGTTGTTGTGGTCGAGGAAGAGTGACTTCAGGTTAGTGAGTGGAGAGAGATCTGGGATGGGCCCGAAGAGCGAATTGTTGCGGAGGCTCAATACTCGGAGCTGCTCCAGTCCAGTGAGGGTGTTCGGAGGGAATGCGCCGCGGAGGCCCAAACCTTGAACGACGAAGCGTACCACCCTGCCTTGTGCGCACTTCACTCCCCTCCACTCGCAGTAGTCGTAGCGCTCGTTCAGCGCGTAGAGTAGCTTGTCGTCTTGGTCTGCTTGGCGCTTGAACGACAAGAGGGCGACGGCGTCTGGGGGTAGCATGTTCGCGGAGGAGGCGAGTGCGAAGTAAAGGAAGAGAGGAAAGAGTGTTGTGAATGTTTTGGAATTATGCATTTTTTGCGTTTGGGTTGGGGTTGGGAGGGGAATATACGGTCCTCTCTTTGATTCAGTCCACTGTTTGAGTATCTGGTGGTGCAAAATGGAAGCTGGAAGTGAAAGAGGGAAAGCGGTGGTAACAGTAGTAGTAGTAGCAGCAGCAGTAGTGGGGAGCAGCTGGCCTTCTCACGTGAAAGTGGGGAATGGTGGAAATGGAATATCATTAACAACTCTTTTTCTTTTCTCTCCTTTTTCATTTTATTAATTAATGTTAATCCTGTGCTCTTCATTCCTTCCTTGTTCCTATCCATCAAACCACAACTCTACAACGCCCATTCCCTATCCCATCTCCATTTTCTTCAATCATCGTACTTTCAGTTTATGATGGTTGTTAAAAATATTATTAACGTCACTTCTTAGTCCATATTAAGTAATTTCAAGTAACAATAATTATAATAATATATTCTTTATTATATTCAATTTTCAAATTTTAATTAATAGTCTATTTTCAATAAAAATTTATTAAAAAATCTTACCACTGTTAAAAAATAAAAAACTTAAAAATTATTTTTTTAATAAATTTTAAAATATTTTTTAAAAATAATTATTTAAAACCACTAAAACGGGTAATATGCTCTTCTATAATGTTTATCGACATGAATGTCACCATGATTTATGTTTACGTGTACGATAATAATGATGAAATGGAAATGTGCTTTCCGCAATCCGCAATCCGCAATTCAGCAATTGAGTGCTATTCATCTGACTTCGATTGACTATTATTGACATTTACGTCATAATTCTTTTTCACAAGTTTAAATGAAATGTACTAAACAGTCTGTTCAACGCTTTATAAATACTATTGAAAAGAAAATATAAATCCATTAATTTTAAAACTTTATTTGAATCATCAAATATGATATTATTCATTATAAAATATCACAACATGAACATTTCAAATATGTAGTTTTAAAAAATACAAAAAAATTTATAGTGATTTTGTAAACTTATATTATCTAATTTTGATTGAAAAAATTTAATTAATATTGATGAAAACATTAAGATAAATATTTTTTTATTGAAAATTTTTAAATAAATATCAATATAATTTAATATAAATTAAAAAACATCTGCCGTTGGAAAAACATTAAACTAATTGTACTTAAAAGGCGTTAACTTCACTAACAGGTGATAATAATAAAAAAAGAATTCACGTTTATTTTGTGAAAATAAATAATAAAATAAAGTTTAAATATCTTATTGCTTTCACATTTATATCGCTGACATGATCCAATAAATAGATTGACATGCGGTAGTATTGTATTAAATAATGTAATAGAAACTAAAACAAAATTTACAAAATTATAAGAACTTAAATTATTTAAAAATATATTATTAAAATATAAAAAATATATTTAAACCATCAAATAATTTATCTATGTCCAAGTTTATTTTTTATTTTTCAAAAAACACTGCTCTTGGAACTTTTAATTTATTTTTATAACTGTCAAAATATATCAACCTAATTGGATTTCAAAACTCATTAGATTGAGTTAAAAATAGTATTACTTAACTCATTTATAGCAGCCTAATTTGAGTTTTGAATTTCATTACATTGTTAAAAATATATTTTTTTTATGTGTTCATAAGTAATTCATGAGTTTCTAGCATGTATATGCAATGCTCATTAAAAAACAGGTACTATTTTTTTTAATTAATGTTTGTATAATTTATTCATAGTTATTAAAAGTGGTATCAAAATAGATATAAGACTGAGAAAACCATAATTTTGTAAGAGGATGATGTTAGGAAGCCAGTTTGGAGATAAATAAACACATTTTCCAACGTCAATTCCGCATACACACGTTAAAAATTCAATTTAGGAAATGTCTGTTTCTATGTTAATTTAGTAAAATAGAATTTTAAAATTAAAATTAATGCGAATTAGGCTGCAGATCGATTTGCACACCTTGATTTATTTTTTATTTTTGCTTAATCAATTTTTCGAAATAAATAAATAAACCTCTTATCATCTTTTCATTTTTCAATGCTAAAACAAGAAAGCATTTAAAAGACATTCTAAATATTATATAAAATGATTCTTAAAATAATAAAAAAAATAAATACATACAATATAATACATATATAAATTTATATTTTTTATTTTAAAATGTCTATATAATTTAAACAGTACCATGTGTCTTATGCATATATTTTTATTTCGTACTTATTTTTAATCCGGAGGAAAACTAAAATTAATTGAAAACATCCTACACGTTTAGTTTTATGTTGTAAATATATTTTTAAAAAATTATACAAAAATAAAAAATTTTAAATTAAATTTTTAGTTGAAATTAATTATCAAATTTATTAAATTTTTAAATTAAAATAATATAAAGTATATTATAATTTTATTTTAAAATTTAAAGACTTAACTAAGTGTACGTTGAAGTTACATAAATTATATTTATTTTTTATAAAAAAATTTAAGATATAATTTTTATAAACTATTATTTTTAATTCTTTTAAATAACGTAATTCATTAAAATATTACAAGTGTCAATTTTGATCGGATATATTAATAAAAAATTATATTTCAATAAAATATTTTATAAAAACTAAATTTAAAGTAATTTTTATAATAATTAAACACTTAATTAAACAAAATTTAAATATATACTCAATTTATATATTTTTATTTTTTAAAATAATAAATGATAAAACTAGTGCTTAATTAATAAAGTAGTATATATATATATATATATATATATATATAATATTTAAAATATTATATTTTTGTGATAAGATGAATTATATTTTATATCATTCTATAATAATATTTTTACTATATTTAATGGTAATGACATTATAATGTTAATTTATATTATATTAATATGATATGATAATATATTTTTATTTTAAATATATATTCATAAATACTTTTTTAACGTATGAATATTGATACTTAGTATGTTATTTCTAAATTTGAGAGAATAAAGTATATTTTTTTAATTAAGAAGTTATAATTTTTTTAATTTCATTGAATAATATTTATATTTTTTAATAAATTATTAATTTTAATTTTTATTAATATAAAATTAATAATAATAATAATAATAATAATAATAAATGTAAATATTCTCTCAATTTACACATAAAAATTACTCCAAACATTTACTAATTTTAATAAATATAAATACAGGTAATATTATATCCACTCCGTACTCCCGGGCGGTTGACGTCCTTGTCCATGAGGCGCATGCGTATTGTGTGCACAACCATTGTTTCTATTTTGAATGCCCTGTCCTCACTCTAAATATAAAACTAACCATATAACATGTGAATGTCATTTTCTAAATCAAATATATCAATAAATAAATAGATAAAATGTTTTGTTAACTTCAGTCAAATTTTTATAAAAATATATAATTATTATATTAAAATTATAAAAATATAATAAATAATTTTTTAATAAAATTTTATTATTATTAACTGTTTATACTAATATTAATAAAATACATAAATAAAATGGAGTTGTTTACGAAGCGTTGTGCACAGAGGAATTAATATGACAACCTGAATGCAGTGTGATTAGAAGTACTATATTTTATTGAAAAAAAAATTAATATATATTCTGCAGATTAAAATTGGATTTCTCCTTCATGTAATAATAATGTGCATATGGCTGCTGAACTTCAAGAGTAATTTACACATACAATTATCTGATCTAGGGTTCTTCCATTTGACCCTTTGAGTGTAAGTTAAGTCTGAAATTCGATCATGGATTTTTACTTTATATATATATATATATATATATATATATATATATATATATATATTAAATCTTATAATAAATGTTAAGATTAAAATATGTAAATTATGTGAATTTTTAAAGTTTAACCATCTGTGTACTGTCTGTAATTATATCTCTTGTTTTTTCTTAACAGAGTAAGAGATATAATCCAAATCATATAACCATACACAATGGTTAAAATAAAAATCACACCATCACTTAAAATTGTCATATGACTTTTTAAAAAATTTACATAACTTTTATATTTTAATTCTAACCATTAATGATTAAAGTTTATTCCTCTTCTTTACACAAAAAAAAAATGGTCATTTCAATCAATATGTTACCTATATTTTTTCTGTTTATTAAGCTTAGAAAAAGTTAAGATACCAAATATTATATTTTTATATTAATATCACTTAATTATTTTTTATAGAATACAACATTAATAAATTTAACGGTTGATTTAAAATTTTTTATTAAGTAGAGTCTTTTTTTTCTAGAATATTAAGCACATTCTTTATTGTATTATTTTATTTTAACATGTATTATATTTTTTAAATATAAATAAACATTAAAATTTAAATAATATACTTACAAATTTATAAATATTTAAATTATATAAAATTTGACATATATAATCATATAAATTTTTAAATTATTTAATGTAAAGGATGAAGACATATTACACTTTTTTGTATTACAATCTTTCTATGTGAATGAATGTGATACATAATATTTCAATGATTTGATGTTAATACACATTTAGTTGTAATAGTATGTTTTGTATAAGTAATTTAAATTTAGCAGAATAATACTTTTTTCAGTAATATTGTGCTAAATGTTTATGAAATACTTTATTATACTAAGTATCGTTTTTTGAAGTGATTCATAATAGGATTTTAGAAAACTTGACCATATAAATTAGATTAATAATCTCTTTATTAATTTTTTTTTAAAAATGTAATGTGTTAAATTACTCTTTGTATTTTAATTTTATTTTTAATAAAATGTAGATATTTAATAAAATAAAATAAAATTATCAATCTTATATTCTATTAAAACGTTGAAATGGTCAACATATTAGTCCGGCTGTAATATTAATATAGAATAGGAATATTTGTTGTCAATGTACAACAGCACCAAATATATTAACTTTTATTTTGCTTCTAATTATCTTTGATAACTAGGACGGATCATACAAATAACTCAAAAAATAAATTTAATTTGATTCTGTATATAAAGTCAAACATTAACAACTTAACTTGCACTTATGTATTGAAGCTTCACACAATTAGTAGGCTTTCACGTTATTTATTCAAAATTAGAGTACTTGACCTCTAAAAGTGATGTTTTATATATTTTTCATGTGTCTAAAATTTTGCTTTATACAATTTAATATCCAAATATGTTAAGTTATTTACATTTTGGTAAATCCCTTAAAAAATGTAAGCAAATGAAGACATTTAGAGACCAAATTATACAATTCAAAACTTTTAAGACCAACTAGTTATTTAAAGAACCAAAAAGCTAATAAGTTCACACATCAAGAACTAAATTAGACAAACGAAAACATTCAAAGATGAACAATAAATAAAGTGTTCCTTTCAAGAATCAATTTATGCATTTACTCTATTTTTTACAATAACGGGGTAAACAGAAATACAAGAAGGAAAAATATCAATAAAAAAGTGTCATTTATTAAGGCTTTAACATCGAATTAGCATCTATTAGTGTGTATTAAAAAAAATAATTATTAGTATACACATTTTGAGTTTATATTAATAATATGAAATATTATACTAATAATTCAAAAATATACTATTATTTTAATACTAAATAATTTTTAATAAATAATTTTTTTTACAGTGTACGAGATAAAATGACTGATATGAAGAAAAGAAAAAGAGATAAAAACGTGTTATAAAAAAAATAATTTTACCAATAATATAATTCTTTCAACATTATTGAATTTCTCAATTTTGTTTCCAAATCAATAGGATCACAACATGTGTAAAAGTAGTAAGAAATGTTTGACCATTGAAGTGTGCACTTCTTGGTCCTAGTGGGTCTGTGCCGAATGAGGTTGACTGATGAAAGGTTAGAGAGTCTAATACTTTTGAGTGTCTTTGGTTTGAGGGAAATAAAGGAAAGGGGGCAAAGATTTTTTTTTTTTAATTAATCTTATTTGATTCATAAATTTACTGGAAATAAGAACAAAAATAATGGGATTAAATAAAATTTCTTGTATTTGTTTTTATCTTTTCTTTTAATATTGGAGAATTGAGAAATGAAAAAAAGTACTGATTTATAATTTTTTAATTGTACTCAAAATTATTTGTGAAATTTTATCTACTTTTACTTTATCTCCAACAGTAACCATAATAGTATTCTCTTAACTTCTTGAATCCTTGTGCTAAACAAATGGGAGGCAAGTGTTTTTTCTTAAACATGCGTTAAGGTTCTTATTAACGAGTGTCCTAAAATGTTAATTAAAAAGTTATGGTGAAATAGTATTTCTAATACCTTTCTTATAAACAATGTATTTGTTAACATTCTCATATTTTTAACAATCTTGTATGAATAATAATTAAACAATCGAAGGCTCTAAATAATCCTTATGATATAGAGAGAAAAAAAATCCCGTCGTCTCTAAATATAATCGAAGGCTCCTACCAAATTTACTAGGTATCGTTAAAATTGAATTTACTGTGATGGCAGGTATCCTCCTCTTCTAAATCTTTACGTTGTCTTCCTGTTCTGAGTTCGAACCTCTTTGTCCCTTGCGTTTATCTGGCATAGGCCTACATTGACAGCGAAGGCACTGATAATATTAGGATGTATTTGATACACAACATTCATAAAAATGTTCCAAATCTTAAATGATAATTCCATGTCATAACGTAGAAAATTCACATGCTTTGCTGGAATTAGAGTCCCAAATGGCCAAATTTTGGCTTCAATTTGAGTTTATTGACTGATAATTGATTACATGGGCTTTGAGATGTATGCAATTGTCGATTCCAGAAAGAATCTTCTTTTCATATTTTTCAGAAAGCCTATTACTGCAATCCATAATTGGACATGCTTAAAATATGAGCCAACCTTTTTATCACGTGGAGGTCCCTGCTTGTTCCTCTTTTTCTCCTCTTTACCACAATTTGAATGGCCACTTCAGATAAGTACTTGACCCAAATCAGTGAGCACACTCCACCAATATCATGTCACTGTTATTTCTATGCAAACAAAGGATATGTCATAATGATCAGGTTGGCCAAAGGCATTTTGACAAATGCCATAGACATATATATACAAAGAAATTTCTTTTTCAAAAATAGATTTAAGCGTTTTGATTAAAGGTGCAGAGTTGATCCAGTCTTGGCAAGTGTCAGCTCATCACTTTGTAATCTTTTATGTTTTTTAACTCGGCAGTTTATCACTTTCTTAAATTTTGACGAAAAGGGACAACTCTACCTTTCGAGGCTTTCACAACAAAATACTGAGATAGCATCTTCCCACGTCATGTACCATTTTTATGTCAGTTTTACTGATTTTTGATTTTAAGATTAATTTTAAGTATTCAAAAGTAATATTTTTAATTTAAAAATTAAAATATTTATTATATTAGAAACATAAAAATATAATAAATATTATTTTTATTAATTATTTAAGCTCAACTTTAAAATTTGAAGTTAATATTATTCTTTTTATACAGCAACAAGCACTCTTTTTTGGGATACGGTGAGGGGGTTAAAGAAAGAAAGAAGAACTGAGCCTTTTACTGTTGTTTTTGGAGAGTTCTGTGGAGATTTGCTCATTTAGTTCCTGGATCATTGGAATAGTTTTTTTTATGTATAATCTTCAAAACGTCTTGAATGAGGCCCTTGTCTATCTCGGGCCTTGATTTTCCCAAAGGTTTAAATACAGGATGACCAAACATAAATTCATTTTAATGTATGTGTCAAAGAACATAATAAAAAATTATTAAATAATATTTTTTTTTATAAAAATTATAGTATTTAGTGTTATTAATGTATAAATTTTATATTTTTAATAAATTTTTATAACGTGTTCTTTAAATATACGTTATGTAAATATAAAATTTCTGTTACCGATAGTCCTTTTAACTAATTATATGTTTATATTTGTTGTCATTCATTCTCAAATTACAGTGGTAAGCGATTTGATTTTTTAAAATACAATTCAAATTGTAGAAGAGAGAATAGTTGAAAGGACTTTATAGTCAATATAATACAGTATATGTAAAAATATAAAATAAAATCTCGAGAATAATTAGTTCTATGAAGAGAGAATAATTCTCGAGAGGAAGTACACGTTGCTGGTTCTCTATGATGTTCCATAGATTGAAACTTAATATTTTGACTTATGAGGTACCAAGCTGAAAATTATGCTTCTAAAACCAAATTAAAAGCCGAGAATAGAAGGATACTTTGAAATCGTCTCAAGGTGTTAGTATATCCACCACTACTAACTACAAAAAAGAGTCAGTGATGGCATGTGTTTCACGGGCGCGAATCGTTGCAGTTACTTTGTCTCATTCAGGAGTAGCTATTTGTCTCAGAAATTACCAATATTCTAAAGGGTGGTTACGTAGGAACAAAATCTTTAAATCAACAAGGAAAAGCGACTTCTGGCTTGTAATTAGTTACTGGGTCGCTACGGCTATTGTCTCTACCTTCGCTCTCATCTCAGGTCCAACCACCCCAAAGCAGCACTTTTCTGCCACTACCCCTTTTTGGTTCAGCACGAACAATCCTTCATAAAATAAACAATCTACATTAGGAATTAATTCATTAATGCAATATACCAACCACATCAACAATGATCATATTCAGCTATAACAAATTACACATAATCCCTCTCATTAACGTTATTTTCAGTTCTAGTCTAGAGGCTTGTAGGAGGGTTAATGTAAGGTCACTCTCAATATTTTTCTCCCAGAACATTGCTTCAACTCTCTCTTATGCTATTCCAATACTTCTTTAAAACCAAGCCTTCTTTCCCAATTCTCTCTCAGAGGATAGAATCTCTCCTACACCAGCCACAAAGGACAGAGATTCTAAACCCAAGTTTTCTTTTTTGTTTTGTTTTGTTCTCTCTCTCTACACCATGAAAAACACAAACACCAACACGAAACTCATCCTCCTCCACCCTTATATCCAAAAACAAGGAAGCTCAAATCGCTTATGGCTTCTAGCCTTCATATCAATTCTCACTCTTGCTTTCCTTGTTACCCTCATATACACAAGAGAATCAACCTTCATTACCACTGCAACTTCTTCCGTGATTGCCTCTTCCCCCCCCGTTTCTGGCCTAGGAAGTGCTCCTTTGCCAGCCACAGTGATCAACACTCTCCTCCACTATGCCTCAAAATCCAATGACACCTACCGCATGCCCCACTCTGACCTCAAACCCATCTCTGACGTGCTCAGAAAATGCTCATCCCCGTGCAATTTCCTCATCTTTGGCCTCACACCCGAGACCCTTCTGTGGAAAGCCCTCAACCACAATGGTAGAACAGTTTTCATCGAAGAAAACCGCTACTACGCTGCATACTTTGAAGAAAAGCACCCAGAAATCGATGTCTATGACGTGCAATACACAACCAAAAGGAGTGAGATGAAAGAGCTCATAGCCTCAGCTAAAGAACAGGTAGCAAATGAATGCAAGCCAGTGCAAAATCTTCTCTTCTCAGACTGCAAACTAGGACTCAACGACCTACCCAACCACGTGTACGAGGTTGACTGGGATGTCATACTAGTGGACGGGCCACGTGGCGATTGGCCGGATGCTCCAGGCAGAATGTCGGCGATTTTCACCGCCGGCGTTCTTGCAAGAAGCAAAAAGGGTGGAAACCCTAAGACTCATGTGTTTTTGCATGACTTTTCTGGGGAAGTGCAAAAGGTTTGTGGGAGCGAGTTTTTGTGCGGTGAGAATTTGTTGGAGGCAAGTGAGAGTTTGGGACATTATCTGTTGGAAAGGATGGAAGAAAGTAGTGCCCAGTATTGTAAGAATCAATCATCTTCAGGGTCAAAGGCTTCTTCATCAACTTAGTTAATGTTTCTTATCAAGACTACTGTAAGGTGCTCAGAATCATGTTAGTCACAATTGGGTCATCATCCTTCTGGGTATTTATCATTCATCCTTTCCATTGCTACATTTTGTTTACTCCTTGGCTGCAGCTTGTAAAAAATAATTCTTTTTGTTTTTACCTTTCCATTTTGTGGCACTGTCAATTGTAATTTCTTCAATGAATTCAAGTTTACAACAAATTCAGTTCAGGATATTGCATACCATCTACATCAGCGAAACGACTCTTAGGAGAGAGAGATTATGCCAAGAGAAAGAAAGCGAAAATGATTTGTTTAGTTGCTTCTGTCGGTACCGACGTAGAGAGGGCCAGGGTTGGTCCCACCCTTCCCTCCTCTTTTTGTCTTTATACATAAAGATTTTTTTATTTTAAAAACTTCATAGTTTTTGTAATCACTGATATAATTAAAGGTTGAATTTAAACTAGGTGATTACTGCCGTTTAAAAAATTTGAGAAATTTTAAATATATTTATTTCACGATTTAATAAAAATTAAACATGGGTATTAAAATGCCTTCGTATAATTAATGTTATCTTTTTAAAGATTAGTTGTAATAATCTTTTTTAATTATTGTAATTAAAATTTTACATTAATCAATTATAGATTATTTTAAAATTTAAAGTTAAATTTGATAATTATATTTAATTTTTTTTTCATTTTTAATTTTTCTTATAACTTTCTTTCCTAGAAAAAATTGATAAAAAAGTTAAACTCAATAAAAAAAATTATTGTGTTGCTAAAATCAATTGTGAAACTTATAATTTATAATTGAAAATTTTAAATGAACATGAATCTTTTGTTTATTTGAAGGAATTTCATAAAAAAGTCATCTATTGTCATCAACTTTTAATTTCATTAATTTTTAATTTTACTCATCTATCAAAATGTTATATTTCTTCTGACATAACCACGTTCAACAAGTCTGCATTGAATCTCATCAAAATTAATTGTTACATTGTATATACATATTACTACACTAAATGATATATTAAATTATTTTACTTTGTGTGAGATAACAAAATAATCAAGAGTTTTCACATGTAACTCACCCCATGCACTAATAAAAATTATTCTACAAGTGGAACAGTTTTCAAAACTTGTTACTTTGATTGATTCTAGAACAAAGCACTATCAACTAGTGTTAAAAAGTACCTGGATTTCAAATTATTAATTCTATAAAATTGATTTTAAAGTGTTAAAAATAACATTTTTAAAAAAAAAATACATGTCATACATGAAGTAAAATATAAATTAACGCATATTATTTTTTTATTAAATGTATCTGAACCTGTAACTTTTAGAAGTATCATATAATTTTGATTTAAATGAAGCTTATATTTTTATTTTATGAAAAATAGAAGAGTTCAAAGCGGCTGATCTAATCAGATGACTCATCCTGACATCACTGCGTAAAAGCTTAAAAAAAAAACTAAAGATGTTTTTATATAGTAGTCATGTGTTATGCTAATATTAAATGTGCATTCAATTTTTTTTAATATATTAAAGGTGTATTTTTATTCTAGATACTGTACATGTTTTGAAAAATTTTAGCTATATTTATATTTTTATTTAAACATTTTATACCAATACAAATTAAAGTTCCAAAATAATTAGATAAACAGTAACATTTTAGTTTACGAGTCATACTTATTTGTTAAAATATTAATTCTATCTTGGTCATATTGTATATCTATGTTTTTAATCACTTTTACACCTTTTAAAATTTGAGTTTATTTATTTGGGCTTTTAGCTTCTTTTATTAGAAAAAATAAATAAAAATTTGACTTTATTTGGCTTTTTTTTGTTGTTGTTGAATTCATCTTTGATAATACAAATTCAATTTCATACCACATGTCATGGTTAATATTTTCATTGCCTTGGTACATATTATTGTTGTTAGAATTGGATGGGACCAACCAGTTCAATTGGTCGGACCAATAACAAATCAGGTCACAAGTTTAAAATATTTATAAAATTGATGGAGCAGAAAATGGATCAAACTGATCAGGAATCAATTAAAATTAGGGCAAAATTTTGGTTTAAATTAATATTTTCATATAAAATGTTTTTATTGGACTTAATTATATTTGATGTGTTTTAAGATAGTTTTTAAATAATTCAATTTTTTTCAGATAATTAATACTTTGAGTCAAAATTTGAAAATTTAACCATTTTAGGTAAAAAAAAACAATGAAGGAATTAAATTTGTACTGTTTTTAAAGTAAAAAAATTAATTAAAAATTTAAAAAGACTATATAACATATTAAGATATTTCTCGTATTAAATAGAAAAATTCATGCATAATATTATTATTATTAATATTTTTTATATTATAGATTTTTTTTATTATGAGTGATAAAATTTGTCTTCTGAATATTTAATTGAGATTCAAATTTATAATTAAAGATTAAGTCAAAATACTTCTTCCCAGTTAATCTACGATGATTTTATTATTACTAATTTAATCCTATTCAAGTGTAATTAAACTAATGAACAGTAGAATATAATATGTGGATATATATTTTTAATCAATTTTAGTAGTTCAATTTTAAAAATATTTATAAATGCTCTTAGAATGTGTAAACAATTTATCTTATCAAGGGTAGTCAACAGCCAACTGGTGTTTTCAAAGGTAGCCTCTGATTCATTGAAACAGGTAATTTGGTTTTGAAATGGTTTAAGAAAGAGAATAAGATATTTAGAGGATGAGGCAAATTAATTGGAAGGTTGGTGTCTCCTCTTATAAAAATAGCATTAGGTGCATTAATTAGTTGTGTGATAGCGACGACGATAGACCTAACCCTAAAGTTTAAGGTCGCTTGTAGTTGGATGGAAGGTGCTTCAATAAGTATGGTGCGTTGTTTTTGAAGTGAACTTGGCTCTTAGTTAAATGAAGTTGAACCAATGCAAGCTCTTGGGTTGCTTAGAAGTCAACTTCATATATGTATTGGGCCTCTTCCCCAATCACTGGTTGCTTGGATAAGATACAGCAAATATTGTTTCCGTGCAAGTAGAAGAGAATGCGTCTCAAAGCCGAATCAATATCTTCGTCAGGAAGGAGAAGCATAATGGGAGATTTATCTGCGTCACTTTAATATTTTAAATGCATTTTTAAGATATATATATATATATATATATATATATATATATATATATAAAATATCATGTATGATATTAATTTTCAGTAATTCAAATAAAAAATTAAAAGAATTATTATAATTAAATTTTTTTTATCTTGCGATTTATTATACAATATATTTATAAAGTGTGTGACTAGATGAATAATTTATACAATATATTATACAATATAATAATTTATTATTAAAATTTACTAAAAAAAATTATTGTTTAAATCTATAATATTCAAAGATCTATTCTTATTCTATATACTCTATAACTTTTTGTTAGATAGTTAAAAATTAAATGTTTTTCCAAACAATTTAGTTTTTTATGAGAATTTTAAGTTTTGGACATAAAACTTGATTATTAATTAATTCTTCAGTTGCACACGGAGTATGTAAGAGTGAGAATATGACCGTCAAGTCCAAAAATATTTTTTAAAATTTTTTTTAAATTTAAAATTTTTTAAAATTGTTTTAAACTAAGAATAATTTTAAGCACATTTTTTTTATAAAAAATAAAAAATAAAAAATTTATTTTATTTCATAAAAAAAATACAGTATCAAAGATAAGTTTTTTTTTTTTACAATATATGTCTTTAATGCAAAAATGAAAAAAAAAGAATAATATTTTTATAAATAACTCATCCTTTAATTCAAATACTTTTTTTTATTGTGTTTCTTTATTTTAAAAAAATAAAATTAAAATCTCTCAAAAATTGTAAAAATTATAAATAAATCTAAAAAATAATAATAATAACAAATTTAAAAATAGTAAAAAATATTAATTAATTTCTTTTAGAGTGAAATAAATATTTTTAATGTTAAAATAATTTTTACACAATTAATTATAAGTTAACTGTTTTAATAATCAAAATGGATCTCCTAAGTGCTGATATTTTCTTTACACGTAAACAACTGCACAAATCTAGTTTCTAAGATATTTTTATTAATTTTTTTTAATAAACTTTGGTGACGACTTATTGTCATCAGTATTTTTTTTAACTGATTATAATATTCTTTTTATCATTCTTCCTTTTTGTCATTCCGTCTGATTTTAATTGCGACAAAAATATTATATTTATAAAAATATTATTCAATCTAAAATATTTAATTTAGTTCTCAGTTTATCAATCATAATTATATTAAATAAATAAAAAATAATATTTAAAAATTATTAATTATATTTTCATAAAATTTTAAAATAAATGAAAAAAATAATAAAAAAACCAATTCATGCATTTTGTTGTAATCATGTTTGTAATATATATTTTGAAAGCACCGTACATATGCAATATTTAACCAATAAAATCAAAATAAAAAAATAAAAATTCAATATTTTGATAACTTTTTTCTATGCAATTAAGTAACGGTATACTTATATAATATCTTATCTTCGGCTCAATTATTAATTATTTCATTATGTATGTGTTATACCATTTTCCTGGTTCAATAATGTGTAGATTTAGCTACTTAGTTATTTATGTTAGTAATTTTAAGAAAATAATTTAATTATTTAAACATTGAAATTATATTTAATTAGAGAATTTGATTAATTTTATTGTTATTAGAAAAATATAATTTTTTTTATTTTATTAACATGTGAATGTTTATATATTTTTTTTATACACTTTATAATTTTGATATGGTAATTTATTACTTATAATTAATTATACACATTTATGACCAAAACGAATTATTTTCAAATCGATAAATTGATGCAAATTAATAAATATTGAAAACTGAATTTATTGTGGTTGATTTAGTTTTATTCTTATTTTTAAAATCAAACTGAATTTCATTTATAATAAATTTTTATTAATTTTTATATAAAAACTATTTTTTATCTAATTTTATCATAACATTATACAAATACATAGTGCAAACTTATATTTTGTTTAAATTTTCAATTTTCTCAATTGGATATCTTCATTTTTTTTCTATCAATACTTTTAATTTTTTTTTTATAATTTATCCTTTTAATCATCAATTCTATTCTCTATTTCTTATTTATCCAACAAACTCAATTTAACTTTTTAGTAACTGTTTACTCAATTTAAAAATAATTAAAAATTATATAATAATAAATAAAA